TTTTTGGATAGTAGCGGCGAAAATCGCGATTTTTGCCCGCCAGCTGCAAAAATCGCATGGTTTTTGGCTGGTAGCGGCGAAAATCGCGCGATTTTTGGCCGGTAGCGGCGAAAATCGCGCTATTTTTGGCCGGTAGCGGCGAAAATCGCGCTATTTTTGGCCGGTAGCGGCGAAAATAGCGATTTTTCCCGCCAGCTGCGAAAATCGCACGGTTTTTGGCCGGTAACGGCGAAAATCGAGCGGTTTCTGGCCGGTAGCGGCGAAAATCGCGCTATTTTTGGCCGGTAGCTGCAAAAATCGCGACTTTTGCCCGCCAGCTGCGAAAATCGCATGGTTTTTGCGCAAAATAGCGCGGTTTTCGGCCGTTAGCGGCAAAAATCGCCCGATTTTTGGCCGCTAGCGGCGAAAATCGCACGGTTTTTGGCCGGTAGCGGCGAAAATCGAGCTGTTTTTGGCCGGTAGCGGCGAAAATAGCGTTATTTTTGACCGGTAGCGGCGAAAATCGCGATTTTTGTTCGCCAGCTGCGAAAATCGCATGGTTTTTGCGCAAAATAGCGCGGTTTTCGGCCGTTAGCGGCAAAAATAGCCCGATTTTTGGCCGCTAGCGGCAAAAATCGCGCTATTTTTGGCCGGTAGCGGCGAAAATCGCGATTTTTGCCCGCCAGCTGCGAAAATCGCATGGTTTTTGGCCGGTAGCGGCGAAAATCGAGCTGTTTTTGGCCGGTAGCGGCGAAAATCGCGCTATTTTTGGCCAGTAGCGGCGAAAATCGCGATTTTTGTCCGCCAGCTGCGAAAATCGCATGGTTTTTGCGCAAAATAGCGCGGTTTTCGGCCGTTAGCGGCAAAAATAACCCGATTTTTGGCCGCTAGCGGCAAAAATCGCGATTTTTGCCCGTCAGCTGCGAACATCGCATGGTTTTTGGCCGGTAGCGGTGAAAATCGCGCGGTTTTTGGCCGGTAGCGGCGAAAATCGCGCTATTTTTGGCCGGTACCGGCGAAAATCGCGATTTTTGCCCGCCAGCTGCGAAAATCGCATGGTTTTTGACCGGTAGCGGCGAAAATCGAGCGGTTTTTGGCCGGTAGCGGCGAAAATCACGCTGTTTTTGGCCGGTAGCGGCGAAAATCGTGATTTTTGCCCACTAGCTGCGAAAATCGCTTGGTTTTTGGCCAGTAGCGGCGAAAATCGCGCGGTTTTTGGCCGGTAGCGGCGAAAATCGCGCTATTTTTGGCCGGTAGCGGCGAAAATTGCGATTTTTTCCCGCCAGCTGGGAAAATCGCATGGTTTTTGGCCGGTAGCGGCGAAAATCGAGCTGTTTTTGGCCGGTAGCGGCGAAAATCGCGCTATTTTTGACCGGTAGCGGCGAAAATCGCGATTTTTGTCCGCCAGCTGCGAAAATCGCATGGTTTTTGCGCAAAATAGCGCGGTTTTCGGCCGTTAGCGGCAAAAATAACCCGATTTTTGGCCGCTAGCGGCAAAAATCGCGATTTTTGCCCGTCAGCTGCGAACATCGCATGGTTTTTGGCCGGTAGCGGCGAAAATCTCGCGGTTTTTGGCCGGTAGCGGCGAAAATCGCGCTATTTTTGGCCGGTAGCGGCGAAAATCGCGATTTTTCCCCGCCAGCTGCGAAATTCGCTTGGTTTTTGGCCAGTAGCGGCGAAAATCGCGCGGTTTTTGGCCGGTAGCGGCGAAAATCGCGATTTTTTATCGCCAGCTGGGAAAATCGCATGGTTTTTGGCCGGTAGCGGCGAAAATCGAGCTGTTTTTGGCCGGTAGCGGCGAAAATAGCGCTATTTTTGACCGGTAGCGGCGAAAATCGCGATTTTTGTTCGCCAGCTGCGAAAATCGCATGGTTTTTGCGCAAAATAGCGCGGTTTTCGGCCGTTAGCGGCAAAAATAACCCAATTTTTGGCCGCTAGCGGCAAAAATCGCGATTTTTGCCCGCCAGCTGCGAAAATCGCATGGTTTTTGGCCGGTAGCGGCGAAAATCGAGCGGTTTTTGGATAGTAGCGGCGAAAATCGCGATTTTTGCCCGCCAGCTGCAAAAATCGCATGGTTTTTGGCTGGTAGCGGCGAAAATCGCGCGATTTTTGGCCGGTAGCGGCGAAAATCGCGCTATTTTTGGCCGGTAGCGGCGAAAATCGCGCTATTTTTGGCCGGTAGCGGCGAAAATAGCGATTTTTCCCGCCAGCTGCGAAAATCGCACGGTTTTTGGCCGGTAACGGCGAAAATCGAGCGGTTTCTGGCCGGTAGCGGCGAAAATCGCGCTATTTTTGGCCGGTAGCTGCAAAAATCGCGACTTTTGCCTGCCAGTTGCGAAAAATGCATGGTTTTTGCGCAAAATAGCGCGGTTTTCGGCCGTTAGCGGCAAAAATCGCCCGATTTTTGGCCGCTAGCGGCGAAAATAGCGCGGTTTTAGGCCGGTAGCGGCAAAAATCGCGCGATTTATGGCCGGTAGCTGCGAAAATCGCGCGATTTTTGCCCCCCAGCTGCGAAAATCGCATGGTTTTTGGCCGGTAGCGGCGAAAATAGCGCGATTTTTGGCCGCTAGTGGCGAAAATCGCCCGTTTTTTTCTGCTAGCGGTGAAAATAGCCACTTTTTTGGCCGCTAGCGGCGAAAATCTGGCGATTTTTGGCATCTAGCGGCAAAAAATCGCGCGGTTTTTGGCCGGTAGCGGCGAAAATCGACCGATTTTTGAACGGTAGCGGTGAAATTCGCACGATTTTTGGCCGCTAGCGGCGAAATTCGATCGATTTTTGGCCGCTAGCGGCGAAATTCGCACGATTTTTGGCCGTTAGCGGCGAAATTTGCACGATTTTTGGCCGCTAGGGGCGAAAATCGCCGATTTTTGGCCGCTAGCGGCGAAAATAGCCCGATTTTTGGCCGCTAGCGGCGAAAATTGCGCGGTTTTTGGCCGCTAACGGCGAAAATTGCGCGATTTTTGGCCGGTAGCGGCGAAAATCGCGCGATTTTTGCCCGCCAGCTGCGAAAACCGCATGGTTTTTGGCCGCTAGCGGCGAAAATCGCGCGATTTTTGCTCGCCAGCTGCGAAAATCGCATGGTTTTTGGCCGCTAGCGGCGAAAATCGGTCGATTTTTGGCCGCTAGCGGCAAAAATCGCCCGATTTTTGGCCGCAAGCGGAAAAAATTGCGCGGTTTTTTGCCGCTAGCGGCGAAAATCGCGCGATTTTTAGCCAGTAGCGGCGAAAATCGCGCGATTTTTGCCCGCCAGCTGCGAAAATCGCACAGTTTTTGGCCGGTAGCGGCGAAAATCGCGCGATTTTTGCCCGGCAGCTGAGAAAATCGCACGGTTTTTGGCCGGTAGCGGCGAAAATCGCGCGATTTTTGCCCGCCACTTGCGAAAATCGCACGGTTTTTGCTCGCTAGCTGCGAAAATCGCGTGGTTTTTGGCCGGTAGCGGCGAAAATCGCGCGATTTTTGCATGCCAGCTGCGAAAATCGTATGGTTTTTGGCCGCTAGCGGCGAAAATCGTGCGGTTTTTGGCCGGTAGTGGCGAAAATCGCGCGATTTTTGCTCGCCAGCTGCGAAAATCGCATGGTTTTTGGCCGCTAGTGGCAAAAATCGGTCGATTTTTGGCCGCTAGCGGCAAAAATCGCCCGATTTTTGGCCTCTAGCGGCGAAAATCGCGCGATTTTTGGCCGGTAGCGGCGAAAATCGCGATTTTTGCACGCCAGCTGCGAAAATCGCACGGTTTTTGGCCGCTAGCGGCGAAAATCGCGCGGTTTTTGGACGGTAGCGGCGAAAATCGCGCGGTTTTTGGACGGTAGCGGCGAAAATCGCGCGGTTTTTGGCCGGTAGGGGCGAAAATCGAACGGTTTTTGGCCGGTAGCGGCGAAAATCGCGCGATTTTTTAAACTGAAAATAGGCGCAGAGTCAGAATACGGCTCAAAAATCACGCTCAGTTGTTAAATTTCCGACATTTCGGACATTTTGAAAACTGCAGGGGGGTTTGGGCAAAATATGACCCATCGCCGTTTACATTATTTGGCATATTTTCGGTATGAAACGTCGTAATTTGAAACTGAAAATAGGCGCAGAGTCAGAATACGGCTCAGAAATCACGCTCAGGAGTCAAATTTCCGACATTTCAGACATTTTGAAAACTGCAGGGGGGTTTGGGCAAAATATGACCCATCGCCGTTTACAGTAATTGGCATATTTTCAGTATGAAACGTCGTAATTTGAAACTGAAAATAGGCGCAGAGTCAGAATACGGCTCAAAAATCACGCTCAGGAGTCAAATTTCCGACATTTCAGACATTTTGAAAACTGCAGGGGGGTTTGGGCAAAATATGACCCATCGCCGTTTTCAGTAATTGGCATATTTTCGGTATGAAACGTCGTAATTTGAAACTGAAAATAGGCGCAGAGAGTCAGAATTCGGCTCAAAAATCACGCTCAGGAGTCAAATTTCCGACATTTCAGACATTTTGAAAACTGCAGGGGGGTTTGGGCAAAATATGACCCATCGCCGTTTACAGTAATTGGCATATTTTCGGTATGAAACGTCGTAATTTGAAACTGAAAATAGGTGCAGAGTCACGCACAAATATTCACCACAATTTATTTTGTATGGTATTTATCAAGTAAGATCCTTGTATAAATATTGGAAAGTACACAATCTACATGCACCATCCTGAAACAATATTGTGTTGATAATGTGATCTCCGAAACCACATCCACGTAAAAATATAAACCAGGGGTAATCCATGTCGAACTCGGCTACTGTAATGACTTATCCACACAGTGCCCTGCTCTGTTTTGCCTTGCCTGATATTTTATTAAAATAAAATAATAAATACTAGGTACTGTACTGTAATGCCAGGAGTTATAATTAAAAAGGGAAAACAGTGTCATCAATAACAAATCAGGGAAAATGAGTGCCTGTGACTGAGCCGACTTGTTTCTCTCCAGCAACACAAATGGCACCAAATCAACCAATCCAAACTACTTGAACAAATTTAAAGTAAAAAAAAAAAAATTTGTTTTAAAATTTTTATTAATATTTAATGATAGGCGAGGGGCTTGGAAGCATCAACAACCAAGGCAAACAGTAATGTGTGCCGAAGAGCTGTGTGATACAATGGGTACTTTTATACAACCAGAATTTCTTCAAGTGGTAATTTATTGGAACCAATTTTGGTCTAGTGAATTCACAGTGAATAGTACAGTATAACTTATTAAAATATTAGCTCATATTTCACAGTTAATAAGCACTGATAAAAGTTATGCCTACATATATTTTCTAACTACATGTCCCTGTTTAAATTTTTTTTTAAATTATACAACATAACCTATGTTAAACTGCTGGTTTAACTGCACAGTGAAGCAGCATGCAAGGCAAACCGCCTCACCGCTGCTGTATAACCTCTCCAGGTTTGAAGTGATTAGCAAGAGAGATGGTCCACTGGTCTTCAACTCCCCGGGTAAACTCACGGATAAATCTGCAAAGTTAAAACAGTTATTGAATTATTGTTTTGATATTTATCACAGTAAGCGTATATTTTTGCAATATGGGCTTTTAAAATAATATTTTTGCAATCATATTCAGTGAAGAAAAAACCCAAGTATATAACAAGCACTATCATTAACTTAAATAAAAACTCTAGTAAATGGTTTAATCAAATGAAATGTAGCAAATCCAATTTTTACTAATTTACCATTTGTGTACAGCCAACATTCAATACAATGTGATGCTACACAGTACAATACACCCTTGATCAAACACATCTTGGTGAACTGGAACCCTTGGTAGACTGGTAAGAATTTGCTAATGATCCCACTGTGATTGTGGCATGACATTTCACTACTCAAAGATTTTCACCCATTTTATTTTTATATTTACCTACATGTGGCTAGAAAGATGAGTACAAGCAAAAATAGTCAGGCTAAATAAGATGGAGGTTCGAGGTATCTTAACATGGAGAACAAGTGAGAACAAGGTTGGGGAGTGAGACAACTTTCAGGAGGGAAGGGAACTATCAAGAGACTGCACCAAGCCATTACAACTATATATCACTTGGAAGGAATCAGGATAAGGATTTGGGATGGGACTGGGGAAAGGAACGGTAGACAACCTTAATACCTGATTAAAGTCAGGTATTGAGCATTGACCTGCATTGAGCGTGACTGTTGCAAGGAGCTACAGTCTTGCTCTGTTTATTTATATCTATTTAATCTATTTTTATCACAAGAATGATTAATAAACACAAAAAATCAAATCATGGAAAGTTTAATGAAGGTACAGCATTAAGTGGTTCATGCAGCAGCATAGTGCGAGAGTGCCTGTCAGCAGAGAGAAAATCAAGGGAGCAATAGAGACATTGCATTACAACTTGGAGATTGGGGATTTTAACCCTTCCACTACACGAATCATTTATATACAGTATAAGCTTTTGGTCTAACTGTCTGCACTGCACTGATCATATACATATACTGTATATGTTTTAATATACCTTTTAAGATTTAAAAGTCCTGCACATACACAGGGCTCACATTTGCTTCCTCAGGCCTCCAGTAACAATTCCCCATTTTGGAGAAAAAAAAAAAATAAAGTCCCTCACGTTCATTCTAGGGTCTTAGTAAAAAAAAATGAGGACCATATCTGACAATATCACCATTAAGAGTCTGAGCATACAGGGCAGCCATACCAGGAGACATTGAACTTCTAACAACAGCAAATGAGTGATTACTATGTATAATTTCAGGTAAACTATGTGCAATGTACAATTTTAAAATTTAGGCTTATATATATATATATATATATATATATATATATATATATATATATATATATATATATATATATATATATATATATATATATATATACTGTGTATATATATATATATACACAGTATATTAGTATACAAAAAATACACGCTGTCCGTATACAGTGGGGCCTCGATTAATGAATTTAATCCCTTCCGGCACCGAGCTCATCATGTGAACTGTTTTGGTTAGTAAATATTATTTAGTCATACATAAAATACCCTATACAGTATAATAAAAGCCGGTGGCTGAGCAGACACACAGGATCACTGGACGCGTGATCCTGTGGTCCCGGGTTCGATCCCGGGCAACGGCGAGAAATAATGGGCAGAGTTTCTTTCACCCTGATACTCCTGTTACCTAGCAGTAAATAGGTACCTGGGAGTTAGTCAACTGTCATGGGCTGCTTCCTGGGGGTGGAGGCCTGGTCGAGGACTGGGATGCGGGGACACTAAGCCCCGAAAACATCTCAAGATAACACGAAATGCTCGTCTTTCAAAACGAATTTCCCCATTTAAAATAATAGAAATAAAATTAATCCGTTCCACCCCCAAAAACATCAATATGACATTTTATAATGTAAACACAGTATAATACTGTACATGTATAATATTGTAATATAAATGTTTTGTTTTACTATTTTCAATTGTACCTGTACTTTTTACCTTATGAAGTCATTGCTGGCTCGAGGGAGATGATGGGGAGGTGGGAAGGAGGAGAGGGGTTATGGTGTGGAAGAGAATCCACCTCTGAGTCAGTCGGGCTCTCTCTTCTTGGAAAATTCACCCCACTGGGACCGGGTTGTGGTTCTCTGTCACTTGCTCGTCTCTTCTCTACCTTTCCAAAGAATGGTATCTATTGACAATTGCTTTTGTCTTCATTTTAGGATGTCCCTAAAATGAGACAGCAAATTGTCATTAAACATGTTCACATACCGTGTTTTCACTGCTTTATCAGGGTGATGTTTTTCCAAGAATGCGGTCACCTTTTCAAACATTCCCAACACTTCCCTGATCTCACTGGAAGAGGCAACATCCTCCTTTACCTCCTCCTCCCCTGACGAGAGCTCTTGTACCTCTTCTTGTAACATAGGAAAGTTAGTTTTGACTGCCAGCTGCTGAAGCCTCACTAGTTGAAGGCATTTGGGTTGCCTGTGAGGCCTCACTTCTTGAAGGCGCTTGCTTGTGCCTCACTTGAAGGCGCTTGCTTGCGCCTCACTTGAAGGCGCTTGCTTGCGCCTCACTTGAAGGCGCTTGCTTGCGCCTCACTTGAAGGCGCTTGCTTGCGCCTCACTTGAAGGCGCTTGCTTGCGCCTCACTTGAAGGCGCTTGCTTGCGCCTCACTTGAAGGCGCTTGCTTGCGCCTCACTTGAAGGCGCTTGCTTGCGCCTCACTTGAAGGCGCTTGCTTGCGCCTCACTTGAAGGCGCTTGCTTGCGCCTCACTTGAAGGCGCTTGCTTGCGCCTCACTTGAAGGCGCTTGCTTGCGCCTCACTTGAAGGCGCTTGCTTGCGCCTCACTTGAAGGCGCTTGGTTGCGCCTCACTTGAAGGCGCCTAGCTTGCCTGTGACGCCTCACTTGTTAAAGGCGCTTGCTTGTGCCTCACTTGTTGAAGGCGCTTGGCTTGCCTGTGAAGCCTCACTTGTTTAAGGCATTTGGCTTGCCTGTGATGCCTCACTTGTTGAAGGCGCTTGCTTGCACCTCACTTGTTGAAGGCGCTTGCTTGCGCCTCACTTGTTGAAGGCATTTGGCTTGCCTGTGATGCCTCACTGGTCGAGATGTATAACACGTAACTTGTCTTTAATTGCTAGGATAACCTTCTTCCTCTTAACACCTCCAGAACGATTGATGCTGCTATCAGACATAGTCTTGGCCAAAAATGTTCAAAGTTACTATGAAAATAAAAAAGTTATTTAAAACAATATTTCACTAATGGCACAGCATTGTGGTATAACACGAGGGATGGGAGCCCATGGGTTGACCAGTGTTGGATGGGTCCACTTGGGGCAGCTATAGCATGTTACGTAGGCCGCCAGGAGGAAAAAATAAAAAAACAATATTTTTGAAGGAAACTTCAGCTTGTGCACATTGTTTTTAGGAAATTTATATATTTGTCATTGTCATTAAATAATTACTAGTACTTATTTCATTTGTTTTTGGCTATGATGAATTGTTCTAAAATTAATGATAATTCCTGTACCCAGGTGGTCCCTCCCGACGCTCCCCTTCCACCCTCCCGACACCACCCACCCACCTCACTCCCCCCTCCTTCACCATGCGTCTCGAGCCACAGGCAGACGGGATTAATACGGTACAGCCCGCCCCAAGGCTTTCATATCCAGACAATTCAATGATTATCCGGCTGACTGTCCGGATTGTGCAACATCGGCAGCAAGTTAACCGGCTCCGATTTTTTATCCGGCTAAACCAGCTTTTATCCGGCTCCCATGGCCATTTTGGCCGGATATTGAGATAACTTTATCCGGTCACAATTTTGGCCGTATAAGGGCATTTTCCGGATGTTCGAATTCCGGATAATTGCATGGTTACAGTAATTATCTTTCTTAATCTTGACAACACTATCCTCAGCAAGTAGCTTCTTTGGCAACATCGTACATTACAAATTGTAGTCACAAAACCACAAAAAAACAAAGAAAAGCACAAATAAATGCAGAGGGATGCTTGTCAAGCATGATACAACAACACTGTTGTCGGAGGCGTCCGAGAATTTGCGAGAACCAGCGAGAACGCTAGGTAGCACCATGTGGTTTTCTCATTAATCGAGCGAAAGCTCGTCAGTCGAGACAAATTTTCGGCGAGTGGCTCACTCGTTACTTGAAATGCTCAGAGATACAGCCGCTCGTCACTCGAGATTCCACTGTATTTATAATCGTACAGTATATCCATACATACTAATACTAATATTTCCGAAATTATACAAAATAAACACCACCTTTGACACATCACTGCAACCTGTTAGCACAAAAAACTAAGTAAATAAGGTGAGAAACAATAAAAATAGATCAACAAAGTTATTCCCATGTTGCATCTCTCCTCATTTCTAATAAAAAAATGCAACTTCTCCAGGCCACTAGTTAAACTGCGAGACACTTTACTTTGGTTTTCATGCTTTCTGGATACTAATTAACAATGTAAAAAAAAAAAAAAAATAAATGTTATACAAATTGTTTTTTGCTCACCACAGGACTGACAGCATTTAACACTTTCGCGCTCTCCGCGAAGGTCACTCAGCCAACCATATGTGCGCGCTGCGTTTTTATCGCTTAAGCGTAAAAACAAAAATGTGTATACTCTTTTTACTCTTCTGACCTTAGTTCTCATGCTACGTATTTCATTTTGGTACCAACGTGTTCGCAATAAAATTCTCTAGAAGAACATCAGTAAAAAAAGTCACGAAACGTATAGGGATACCAGCACCAAATAAATAACTACGAAGATGACTCGCCGTGAGCGCCCAACAGCAACAAAATGTTTTTACTCTTGGAATTGTAATCACGTCCACACTTGTTCTACAGCGTTAATTTTGGTATCAATGGACTCGCAATGAAATTCCCAACACGGTGATATGAATATAAGCGTAGAATAATGATGCGGCCCGCCCGCAAGAGTGTGGGAAGTGGTGAAATTGTTACCCGGTATCGGTGACAGGACGACGCACGGCGCTTTGAAAGTTTATACTTATTTCACTCTCATTTATTCAGTTTATTTCTATTTCACATTAATTTTCTATGTACGTCATTCATTTTTGTGTCAATGTGTTCACAATAGAATGTTCTATGTGCCCATAGGTAAAAAAGATCAACAAAGCGTAAGTTAGAATAGCGCCAAATATAAAACAACGCTGGAACATATCAGTGAGCGTCAAACACACACGAAATGTTTTTACTTTTGTTATGTTTGTCAAGTTTATACTTGTTGCACACAGTTATTTTTGGTTGTATATTGATCGGAATAAAATTCCCTAAACAGACATATGCATATAATACATGATATGGGGGAAGCATTACCAGTATAAACGGCTAAAGTCACCCACCTGCAACCCATTTGGGACAAAATACCATTTGATCGAAGTTATCCACACCTTTCATGAACTTATTGTACCATGCAGCCTAGTGGTGAGAAAGAGAGCCTCATGGCGCGCAGTTTGAAACAAACCCAAAGTAAATCGGATAAAAATTGAATTTTATACAAATATTTTAAAAGAGGACATAACTTTATGTCCACTATGCGTTAGCGTTAGACGAAACAGGACTCACATGTGAGTCCTGATAGTGCGAAAGTGTTAACAGTTGTGCAGTGGAATTTAAGTAGCGTTCTGGATGACTTCAATATTTTAAGATGCTTGCAATTAGTAGAAGGAAGCTCTCAATCAAGATATTTTAGTTTTCATGTTGACAGTGTGCAATAATTTAAAATATAATTACTAAAGAGCATTGCTGACCACATATTTAATTTGTCTCCAATATATAATGGCAATGAGACTGGTATAGTTTGGGGGGTTGCCATCGTAGACCCTGGCTAGTAGATTGGAGAATACATTACATGCCCAGGAGATTGAATGTGTTTCAGCTATGATTTGTGGCAATGCAGATGGCACAAAGTAAAGACAGAAATTATTGGTAAAGCTGCAATTTCAAGATCCTTAAAAACTGTTTTGGTTAGTAAATATTATTTAGTAATACATAAAATACCCTATACAGTATAATAAAAAAAAAAAAAAAAATCGCACCTGTAATTGGCAATAGAGATGCGATCATAGTTATCATAGACACCTCGTAAATTACCAGGAGATTCCAAGGAAGCGGAACTATTTATGTGGTCCTGGAAATCCCTGAATACATGATAGCACATCGTAATCTCCACAAAAATACGCTCATGTGAAGTTCCTGAAATTATAAATTGCTTTTTAGCTATGAATACATCATACACTGAAATCTTGAACATTTTATTAGAAGTACATTAAACTATGAATAAAAAAGACAATGTAAAAAATTAAATAATACATCTTGTGTTAAAATTTAGTCATATTTACATCCATTCTAAATAATGTTTTCGTTTTCATTTTCATACAAAGTCAAAGACAGGAAACAAAATGGAAATGGCAAATAACCAGCGTTGAATGTAATGAAACGCCATTTTCTGGGCGAGTCCCGGAGGCTCCCTGGAGCTATCGGACTGATATATGCTATATTAGTCTGGGGCTTCAGTCACATTGAGTTCTGCCTATCAGCAACCACAAGCAGGGAGCAATGGCCTATGAAAACGCCATATCTTTGAGAGTACAGTACCACCTCCATTCAACGTACAATACGGGACCAACCCCAATACATTGGAGCGTTGGATGTATTGCAAGAGGTGACCTTCAAGAGGTGTTTGTGTCAGTGTCTTTTTTTTTCTTGTACACAATAAAAATGCATTATCATATTATAGTATACTGTACCTATATATTATTACCCTACTAAAAAATACTGTTACATTTGTTATTTACCTTATTGTTGGAGTTATGTCCAGTTTGAAGTCTCATAGAGTTGTGAATGTTTTACAGTAAACACATATTGTAGTGTATTATGCCGTTAGCACTGTGTTGATTAAGTAGTTCTGCTGTATATTGAGTACTACAATACAGTTTATGAAAACTATTGTACACTAAAATTACTGCAACTTTAATTTTAACACTATGTACACACTTAAAACTCGTGCTGGGTACGGCTATGCTTGTGCTTGGTACGGCTGTTCTCGTGCTGGTTGATTTTTTGCTACTAGTTCTTGCGAAATATTGCTTCATTTTTGGCATTATTAAGGCATTATTAATAAACCCCTGAGACATTTTGTTGTATATCAATACAGCAGTAGTAAAAAAATTGTAAATTCCACGATTATTCTTCCACCGGCGGTTAAATACTGTACGTCAATCGTAGACAAAGCTAAGGACACTGGGTGCATACTGTACGAATGCAGACTAGGTCAATATGTACACCCTACAGTAGGCTGGTGTTTAAACCAGATCCAGTAACAAATTTCTCTCAAATATTGGATTTACATAAAATTATATATTTTTGGGTTATATATTTAGTTTAGCAACATTATTACGATAATAAGAGCTATAAAAAAATACTTATTTTAGAACCGATTTATTAATTTTATTATTTCGAAGCCGTAGGTCACTGAACTGTGGTGATGAAATCGAACAAAACAAGCATGGTGTTGTGGTCAATTTCCAGTAACATATTTCTCTCAAATATTGGATATACAATGGGGCCTCAACTTACAATGCTAATCCGTTCCCAGAGACGGATCGTAAGTCGAAATATCGTAAGTCGAAGTGATTTTTCCCTTAAGAAATAAAGGGATTTGAATTAATCCGTTCCCCACCCTCCAAAATATTAACATACAAATACATTTTATACCGAATACAATATTTTTTCTAACTACAATACAGTACCTAAGTTTATCTTACCTTTATGGAGGGCTCTTGATGGCATATGGAAGATGGTAATGAGGGGGGGGGGAGGAGAGTTGTTACTGTTTGGAAGAGAAGTTCCCTTCCATTATCACATCAGGCAGTGATGTTTTCTCTGGGGTACTCTCTCTCCTACGTTTTGCCTGAATACCACTAGGATCTGGTTGTGGTTCAGTGCTTGTTTGTCTCACTACAAATTTGTCAAGAGACATTTGTTTTTTCCTTCGTTTTAACATTTGTCTGTAATGATGCATCACTTTAGCACCCATAATGTCCTTTTTCTTAGCCAGTATGGTGGATATCGTTGACTGAGATTTGTTGTACTGCCTAGCCAGTCCAACAACCCGCACACCATCTTCATATTTACGAATGATCTCTTGTTTCTGCTCTATGGTCATCCTTACATGGGATCTCATATGTTAAGCCTTACTACTGACTTTCCTGGGATTCATGGCATGATATATAATAATTAATTTCATGTTCACCACAAAAGTGAAATTTCTTATAGGCGCAATCGTCACTAAGCGGGCAGCTGTAGTAAACTGAGGCAGGTCGGCCACGTGACCAGGAACCACGCACTCCGTCGACCCGAACGTGTACAGTACCAACAAATATCGTAAGTCGACGACACCATCGGATGTCGAGTCGCATTTTTCGATGAAATTTACATCGTAACTCGAAATTATCGTAAGTCGAGGTGCCACTGTACATCGAAATTATATATTTTTGGGTTATATATTTGGTTTAGCAACATTATTATGATAATAAGAGCTATAAAAATACTTATTTTAGAACTGATTATATTATTTTTATTTATATATATATTTTATAACAGAATATTTTTAGTTTTATTTAGTTTAGTTTAATTAGGATAATAGTTATTAAAACACCAGTTTTAGAAATGATTTATTAATCCGAAACATTCAAAGTCTGAACTATGACAACACAGACAAAAGTGAGTGAAACCTCACTGTAAAGTGAGGTTTACAGTACAGTATTCCCTTATCTGTCCACCCTCACTAATCTTGTTTCATCACAGAAAATGTATATAAGAAGATTTCAACACATTAACTAGCTATTCACGCTTCAGCCTTTAAATTAATTTACAAAGATACGTGTGCTACAAATCAGTGAACAAAAATCATTGAAACTCAGTCATTCACTTGTGTGGACCACTCTGGCTGGTATTTGGTTAATATGCATCATTTCTTGTGTGGACTATTCTGGCTGGTGTTTGGTTCATATGGTTCACTTGTTGTGTGGTCCACTTGTGTGATCCAACTTGTCTTATGAAAGGATTATTAATTGTAATCTGTGATAAAATGAGACAGTTTTCCACCACTGTGAACTCTGTCCCAACATCGTAAGCTTGTGGACCACTTGTGTGATCGAACTTGTCATATGAGTGAATTATTAATTGTAATCTGTGATAGAATGGGAAATTTTTCCACCAATCTGTGAACTCTGTCTCGACATCGTAAGCAAATCCGAACATCCCCCGCTTCGTCGAACCGGGTGAGAAAATCCGGCATGAAAAGTGTGCAAACTAGCCAGAGATTCATTCGTTGAATCGGGGTACGTTGAATCGAGGTTGTACTGTATATTCATGTCTGCCATCGACCAGGGCAAAGCACCCAGAAAGGTAGGTGTCTCAGAACAAAATCCAACTGGTAGAAAATTGCAACCCAAGACCAAACAGAATGCAAGAACCCCCCCCCTTCCCCCAAGACAAACAATGCAACAAGCAAATTGTCATCAAATGTGCTGCTCATTCGTGCCGCCCCAACTCCCCCCACCAGCCCCGAACTTCCGTGAGGAGGAGCCGCCCACCGCCACTACAAGCCAGAGGACATGACCTGAAATGCCCATGAATCGTGGGACCAAGTGAGGGCAAACAGAGCCAGCCTCCCCCCCCCCCCCCTCCGAGAAGCCGACTTACGTGCAGAGTGTTGACCGCGCCAATCAGATGAAGACGGCTCCGGCGGAGGCACTGGCTCAGAAGCTGGCACCATGAGCCCCACCTTGCTCTGGCATGACCCTTCCATGAAGAGCAAGAACACCCACCCTGGATCACCAATAAATCAGAAAGAGGACTGCAACTGGCAGAAGCTGTCTGCAAAAACTGAGAAACAATCGTGTCCAAAAACAACAACAACGGACAGAAAGGAGATGAAAATTTAAGAGCCAGAGTCTAAACAGTCAAAAGAGAGCGAGGACAGCCTATCGACATGCAAGGCGAGAGGCAAAAAACAGAGACACCGCCTCCTGAAGGATCGGCTCAAACAGTTTAAGCAACACCGCCAACGCCCAAGCAGCCGAGGCTAATGCCCCAGATGACGGCCCGGCACTCAACACCTCCACATCCACCACAAGCCAGTCCGAAGAAAAACTCAAAAAAGGAAAAAAATGCAAGACCGAGACCAAATGCCTGCGAGTTCGAAGATCCTCTGCAACCAAGGCAGTCAAAAGGGAGGGACCTGAGCATGCAACTGGAGCAAGCCAACCTCATGAGGAAGCACAGGGGTGGAAAGGCATGCATCACAGTAGTAACCTCCCACCAACCTAGTACGCGAGTACGACAAAAACCATGCCATGCCCCAAAAGAAAAGAAAAGAGCAGTCTGCCAGCCAGGAAGATGTCGGAACCTTATAATGCACCCAAAAAGGTGAAGAGGAACTGAACTCAAAAGAGACCAGGTCCATCACAGAGGCAAAGTCCAGGTCTCGCAGGAGGAACATACCAAGGGCCTTCCAAACCTCAGCAGGGAAAATCTGAGTGGTGAAAAACCTCTGGAAGGACGAATCCGAGGAACTCAAAGCCATCCCGGAAACAAACCCGTTTGGGGGGGGGGGGGTGAGCCACACAAGCCGACAAAGAACCCGCAGGAACTCAATGGAACCTGGGGAGGGGGCCGAACTCAAATCAAACTCATACAGAGAAAGGGGATACGAAAACCCCAAGCCCTGCAACAGCAAACCCAGCCCCAAGGACACCAAAGCCCAGACAGGATCGAACTGGGCCCCAAGAGCCCCAAGCCGACTTCCCCGCAGCCCCAGAAGCCTCAAACCCAGGCCCCGGGGCAGAGCCATCCTCCATGTCATCCATCCTGAAGGAAAAAGCAGAGTCCAAAGGAAAGGCAATAAAGAAGGGGGTCTGGAGGGGAAGACCCAGAAGCCTTGGTGGGAGGATCAGGCTCAAAAGCCTCCATCCCCGCATCGAATGGGGCAGCCTCCAGGGCCGCCTGAGTTTAATTTCCAACAAAACACTGCCCCAACCCCAAAACCCTCAGACATTTGGGAGCCAGCAGCAAGGGGGGGGGGGTTGAAGAGGTCGAGGAGCAGGGCGAACCACGCCAACAGGGGAAGGACTAAAGGACGAAGACGAAACCAAGGTTGAAGCGACTAATGCCTCAAAGTCCAGGTTCCT